GTTTATCTTTTTTTACTAATTTTTTCTCTTATTAATGGTTATTTTTTTATTTTTTTAAGTATTTTGAAATTTTCTTAATCAGGAAATTTTTTGTTTTTTTTGATTCTTTAATTTTTTTTCGAGTTTTATAAGTGTTTTTGTTTTGGGGCTTATTATGTTAGTTGAGGTTAGTTTTTAGATTGGTTTTTTATTGATTATTAGTTATTATATTTGGTATTATTTTTCTTAGAGGTAGTGTTGTTTTATTTAATATTTTTTGTGAATTGACTATAATTCGTATTTTGTTTTGTTTGTTAGGATTTGGTACTCAGGTGGAGAACGTTAGGGCTTGTTACTATTTGGTTTTTTATACTTTGTTTTTTGGTTTTCCTTTCTTGTTTTTATTTAGTCATGTTTTTTCTTTTTGTAATTTTGTTTATTTTGATTTTTATACATCTTTTGAGTTTGTTTTTATTTTAACTTTGTGTTTTTTGGTAAAAATTCCTTTATATTTTTTTTCATGTTTGGTTACCTAAGGCTCATGTTGCTAGAATAGTTTTAGCAGGAGTTATGTTAAAATCAGGGGTAGCAGGAATTTATCGTTTGAGTAAATCTTTGGGTTTTTTTGGTATAGAGTTTTTTTTGTTTTTGTCTTTTTTAAGTTTAGTAGTTTGTTCTTTTATTTGTATGAGTCAGAGTGATTGTAAGTGTTTAGCAGCGTATTCATCGATGTGTCATATGGGTTTTGTTGTTTTTTCTGAAATTTTTAATGGTTTATTGGGGTGAAAGTATGGATGTCTCTTGTTGTTATGTTAGCTCACGGCTATACTTCTGTTATAATATTTAATTTTATTGAGCAACTGTATCATTTATGTGGAAGTCGTTTGGTTTATTATTTACGGGGTTATTTTAATTTAAATTTGTTAGGTTGTTTTTTTTTGTAGTGTTATAATGTCTAATTTTAGTTTTCCTAGTAGTTTGTCTTTTTTCTGAATATATTATAAATAATTGTGGTGTTTTAATTTTTTATTGGGCTTTATTTTTTTATTTTTTTATTATATGATTTCTTTTTATTATTCTGTTTATTTGATGGTTTGTTTTTTAATGGGCCAAAAAACTTTTTTAAATTTCATAGAGGGTCGTTTTTTTCTTGGTGTTTTTATGGTTTTGATAAGTTACAATTTTTTTTGGTTTGGTTATATTATTTAGTATGAATATTTTTTGTGGTATGTTGTTTATAAATGTTATGAAAGAGAGTATTTTAAAAACTGTTAATCATAAAACTATTGGTATTTATTATATTGTTCCAGGTTATTGGGCTGGTTTAGGGGGTTCTGTTTTGTCTATAATTATGCGTTTAGAGTTGAGTGGTCCTGGTGTTTATTTATTTTTTGGTAGTGGTTAGGTTTATAATACTGTTGAAAAAAGATTGATAAACCATTAACAAAGCAACAAAATTAAGTCAAAAAGACAAAGCATTAAGACGCGGAAAATCTATACATGGTGTTTTAATAATTTCTTTTAATGATTATGCCTATTTTAATTGGGGTTTTGGTAATTGAATATTACCTGTTATATTAGGAGCCCCTGAAATAGCTTTTCCACGTCTTAATGCTTTGTCTTTTTGGCTTACTTTTGTTGCTTTGTTAATGGATGGTTTATCAGTCTTTCTTATTGGTAGTGGAACAAGGAGGGGTAGTTGAACTTTTTATCCCCCTTTAAGAGTTGAAGGTCAATCGGGTATGAGAATGGATTGTATAATTTTGGGGCTACACACTGTTGGTATTGGTTCTTTGTTGGGAGCTATTAATTTTATGTTTACTACACAAAATATACGTTTGACTGCTGTTACTTTAGATCAAATGAGTATATTTGTTTGGACTTCATATTTAACTTCTTTTTATTAGTTTTATCTGTTCCTGTGTTAGCTGGTTCTTTATTGTTTTTATTATTTGGTCGTAATTTCAATTCTTCTTTTTATGATACTAAAAGGGATTAGACCTTTATTATTTCAGCATTTGTTTTGATTTTTTGGTCATCCGGAGGTTTATATTACTGTTTTGCCTGCTTTTGGTATTATTAGAGAGGCAGTTTTATTTTTAACTGATAAGGAACGTTTATTTGATCAAGTTAGTATAACTTTTGCTTGTATTTGAATTGCTCTTTTAGGTACTTCTGTGTGGGGTCATCATATGTATCCTGTGGGGTTGGATATTGATACTCGTACTTATTTTAGAGCTGCTACAATAATTATTGCAATTCCTAGAGCGGTAAAAATTTTTTAATTGGTTATGTAGGTTCTCATCAGAAAATTCAGCCTTTGTTATGTTGAACTTGTAGTTTTATCATTTTGTTTACTTTAGGTGACTTGAGGAGCATTGTTCTAAGAGCGGCTAGTTTAGATATTGTATTACATGATACTTATTATGTTCTAGCTCATTTTCATTATACTTTAAGTTTAGGGGCAGTATTCGGAATTTTTAGTGGGTTTTGTTTATGATTACCTTATATATATGATGTTTCTCTTGATAGTAGCTTTATGATGGCTGTTTTTGTGTGTTTTTCTTAGGTGCTAATTTGATTTTTTTTCCTATACATTTTGCTGGGCTTCAGGGTAAACCTCGTAAGATTTAAGATTATCCTGATTGATTTGCTGTTTATTAGGTTATTTCTTCTTTATGTTCTACAGTTACTTTTTTAGGTTTTTTATTATTTAATTTTATTATTTTTGATTCAGTTTTTTAGATTTTTGACTAAAGGATTGTTTGGATTTTTTATTATTTTTGTTTTAATTTTTAATTGCTTTTTTTTTATTCTTTAGGTTAAGAAATCCTATAATTATTGTTGAGTCTGATGTTTTAGCTAGCAAGTCCTGTGCATGTTGTTCCTGAATGATATTATTTATATGCTTTTACTATGTCGCGTTCTGTTTCGGATGAACTTTTAGGAGTAATTTTAATGTTTTTAGCAGTTTTTATTTATTTTGTTATTGTTGTTGTAATATAACTTTAATTTAAGTATTTTTGATGACTTTTTGTATTTTTTTCTTCTTGTTTTTTAATATCTCTTTTTTGATTGACTTGGGCAGGTTTATATCCTACTGATTATCCTTTTGATTACTTTAGTTTATGTTTGACTTTATTTTATTATGGTGCTATTTTTTTTTACGTGTTTAACTAATTATTTGGGTATTAAGATTTTTAGTTATATTTTATTATATTTTGTTATATTTTATTATATTTTGTGGTATTATATTTTGTTTATTATATGTTTGAGGTTCTTAAATTTAGGCT